TAAAACACTGGCTGCACGAGTTCTTTCTTAAAAGTAACAAATATGGGGTTTGTTTTTTAAGTTTTAACTGCACTTTATGATTCAAATGGGAATGAATAGATTTGTTCTTTCACAGTAGTTTACGCAGCTGTCTAAAACATTTACTGACATACTACTTTTAATCAGTTCTAAATTAATAACCATTACATAAATAATCCATTGTACACGTTTATGCTTGGATGAGAATCTGAACTCAATTTTTGGCAAAGCTTCTGAGCATAAGACCATAACCATTTCCATGTGTCACAGTGATATGGCTAGACAAACAAGGAAAGAAACAACTCGAGTTTAAACAGAGATGACACGGTGATCTGATCACAGAATTATGCGGGAAACAGAGCAAAAGCAATATTTCTAAATCGGAAATTTAGTTACACCAGGAATTCACAGCAGAAAGAGAAGGCAGTTTAATTTATCTGGAAAAAAAAATATAAGTTTAACCACAGGCTTGGAGTGTAAAAAGGCAGCACAGGATAGGGTAGCAATATGTGGTTTCGGAAGAGTATGAAGAGCTTTCAATGCCAGATGCTAGCTTGTACAAAAACATATACAGAAAGTATGTAATTTGACAGCTGGCACCTGGTCGGCCTCTGTTTCAGAATCAAAGCAGAATTGGAGAGTATCTAACAAAAGTAGAAAGTTGGTTTTTGTTTAAAGACCTACAGTTTGAGAAAGGTTATCCTGCTAAGACAGAAAACTGGCAACATTAAAAAGGAGCTGAGGTGACTATCCACAGGTCAAGGAAAATGAGGAGACAGTCTAAAGCAGAAACATCCAGGGCAAATTATCCTCTCTTCCAAGTTTAAACCCTTGGCTTCCCAGAATAAGTGAGCTCTGGCCAAATGATCAAGTAAATCAAAAAACCTGAGATGACAACCCAATTGGAGGTTGGATTCACACTATTTAGTATAGGTAATTTGCTGACAAAATGAACTGAGAGATTAGCTATAGGCCGCAGAGGATCACAAGTATCGCTTGCCACTTGACAGGCAGTTAGTTTTATATAGGTTAGGGGTAAAATTTTCCAAGAGTGGGGCGAGTCTCCATGACCCTACCACAGGGGGCACAGAGATTGAACTATGTTGTTAACTGACAATAATCTGCATCATCGAGTCGTACAACATGGAAACAAACCCTTCAGTCCAACCAGTCCCTGCAGAACATAATCCTAAACTAAATTAATCCCACCTGCTTGCTCCATATCCTTCCAAACCTTTCCTATTCATATATCCATTCAAATGTCTTTTAAACATCGTAATTGCACGCACATCAACTACTCCCTCACAAAGTTCATTCCACACACAAACCACCCTCTATATCCAAAAAAAAATTTGCCCCTCATGTCCTTTTGAAATCTCTCTCCTCACACCTTAAAAATGTGTCCCCTGGTCTTGACATTCCCCCTCCTAGGGGGAAGTCAACTACCATTAACTATCTATACCACTCATTATTTTATAAACTTCTATAAAATTGCCTCTCCGCCTTCTACACTCCAGTCAAACAAGTCTCAGTATATCCAGCCTTCCTTTGTAACTCAAACCTTCCACACCCAGCAACATCCTGGTAAATCTCTTCTGAACCCCTCTCCACCATATGTTAGCCATCCAGCCAACTGCTCAAACCAACCACTATAGAGGGTAGGTTAGCAACTCTGTTCAAATAGCAAGACCTAGCAAAGATAAAGGTAGATCAAACAAATATACAGATCTAAAAGAGTTTTACAGAAAAGACAGCATGAATAAGTGTGATGAAAGGTGTATAATTTACATAAACTGTCAATTTTTCAAAGTGAATCTCAAAACAGAAGTCAATGGATAACGATTGCTCGGTCTTTTCATTAAAAGAAAACCCACAAAGTTAGAACAGTGACAAAATCCAGTATTTGTCAGAGCAGAAGACTGCAGGGACCTGCGGCTTAAATGGGAAGGTGTTTGAACTGTTGACTTTTGAAAAGTAGGGTAAATATATAAAGCCATTAACTTTGTTTTCAGTTCAGAAAAATCCAGGGTGAGCACTTTATTTTTAAGGTCAGAAGTCACCAAGATTGAGTTGAAAAGCAGGCTTAGTTCATCTTCTAGCTATTCAAGCTCCAACAGATGATCACAGATCCCTTCCCCAAGCGGGAGGGAGGTTTACTGGAATGGTTCCAGAAGGATTAAATTTGCAAAGATTGGAGAATCTGGGGTTGTTCTCATTAGAACAGAAATGTAAGGAGAAATTTGGTCAACTTCCGTTTTTAAAAAAATCCTTTAAATGTTTTAGACTCCATAAAGCAAAACTTTTACCAATAGCTGAAGTCACAAACCAGAGGACTCAAAATTCAAGTAACTGCCAAAAAATTACAAAGATGACATGAGGAAAAGCTTCTGTTTTTCCAAAGTGTGGTTAGGATTTATGCCATATTTTTTAACAGGGAGGTGGAAACCTCCTTTCAGTACCAAGTTGAGTTGATGAAGCTTCCAAATCATGTGTGGAGTTAGAAATCTCCACAGTAATTGGAACGGAGAACAGTTCTCAGCTTTGTGAACAAAGTCAATTTAGCAGACTCAAAGGATTCATCGAAGAATTCAAATGTCTCTGCAATCCATAGCAAAGCAACATCAACAGTCAATTAAATAGAAGCTAAGTCTGAAAGAACAGCATCTAGACTTACTGCTCATCTCATGCTACAGGTTAAAGTTCAATTAAAATAAGGAAAGCTGATATGAAAGCAAGGATACCAGACTGAAATAGCATGCTCGATAAAGTGAAGAAAATAGCACGTAGGACTATATTTTTAAAAACGTCATTGAAATGTAGCTGTGTAAAATTATACCACAAAAAGTTAGACAAATTCAAGTTTCAGAACGTCATGGTTAAAATCAGAAATTAGAAACAAAGTAAAACTTTGGAGAGCGCATGGAACTGGCAGGATGAATAAAGTGACATGACTGAACAGAATAAGATAGATGTTTGGGAATGTTAAGTGAAAGGAGAGAACAAAAACAGAATTTTAACAGACTAAAAAGTGGCGTATTCAATTCAAATGAGAACTGTTTACAAACTGGAATGCCTGAAATATGATCATATGGAAGTAGAGGATGAAAAGTAATTATTGAGGATATTTAACAAGTGTCTTGTTTTCAGGGCTTACTGAAGCAAAAAAAAAATTCAGGGAATAGGCAAATCCTTTTTGGTTGAATAAAAACTTTGTTTTATTTATTTACAATGTACTGCATAACAATTCATCTTTAAACACAATGTATTTCATAAGGCATCTTAAATATTTTGGAAGGAATTTATCCTCGACATAAGATTTTTTTTTCCCTTATGTGGACTCTGGATTGGACAGTTGTGATGAAACAAGTGAATTTTCCTCTTCAGGAACTATATGTTCTGATGCAAAAAGAAGAATTTCACTTCTTAGAAATGTCAAACTACTCCAACAAGAATTGTATTTTCAAGGCTATTCAGCAGATGTGCCCTTTATGTGTAAACAAGTTGCGACGGGTTGAAAAAGGTTGGCTGTGTCAGTTTATCAAGATTCTTTTTATTTCCAAAGTTTCTGTAAGTGGTTCAGCAAAAATTCGTTCAGTAAAATTGTTGAAACCACCATTTCATAAATGATTCACTTGAATGTAACTACCCAAAGTTAACAACAAAATAAAACCTTTATCTATAATAAATATTGATCAGTGTTCTCACAGGCAACTCTTGAAAACACTAAATTCGAAGTAAATGTTCTCTGATCATGGATGACCATCAGAGCGATGACTTCACAAAATGCACACTCCACCTCTCCGCTTTCTGAGAGAGGCGAGTTGAGTTATACAATTCCTTTCTCCTCTTTGCCTTGAATCAGAAATTCATTTTAAGTTGAAATTAACTTCCTCCATAAAAATGCGCTTTTTCAAAACTGTATCACAGAATGACAGAATATATTATGATTTCTAAACACTTAATTTTAGTTTTGATGGCAATGCTCCAAGATTTTTTTTTTAAAACAGTTTGAACACAGAATCATAACAAAAAAAGATTAAGGAGCCTGACAGGGTAGATGCTGCAAACAGTTTCCCCCTCCCAGACAGCTGGGAACCAGGGGCTATACTGTCAAGGTAAGGAGTCAGTAATGTACAGCTTTGAAAAGGAGAAATTTCTTCACTGAGAGGGTTGTGAACCTATGGAAGTCTCTACACAGAGAGCCCATGACATTCATTGAATGTACTAAAGGCTGAAATTATAAACTTTTGGTCAAGAGAAACGGGGATTAAGCAGACAACGGATATATAATGCTATTCAATAGCAGAGCAAGCTCAAGGGATTGAAGCCTTCCTCCTGCTTCTGTTTCTTAAATTCTTTTTTGTGGATTATTTTGAGACAGAGACCAAAATAACGATATTTTGATCCTTCTTACTATAATGGACTGTGATTATTGCCATTTATGTGGTATATCTTTATCCTAGTAAAGAGGCTGCCCAGTGGCTCAATAGTTTGCACTGCTGCCTCACAGCACCTAGGACCTGGGTTCGATTCCAGCCTTGGGTGACTGGCTGTGTGGAGTGTGCACATTCTCAGTGTTTGCGTGGGTTTCCACTTGATACTCAAGTTTCCACCCACAGTCCAAAGACACGCAGGTTAGGTGCATGGCCATGCTCATTTGTCCCATAGTCCAGGGATATGGGGATTAGGTGTATTAACCATGCTAACTATGGAGTTCCAAGAATAGGTCAGGAATCTGGGTCTGGGTGAGATATTCAGAGTCCATGTGGACTCTATGGGCTGAAAGGTCTCTTTTTCACAAATGTAGAGATTCTATGATCTTCCTTCTGAGTAACAAACAAAAATCCAAGTTTTGTAACTTAACCATTCAGTATAATTTGGACCATACACCAGGGCATGGCAACATTCTCCAAATTTTGAGGGAACCCATTGTTGAAGGTTCAATAACCATTTTCAGACTGCAGTTACTCACTCAAACTTACAGTTCTTTGTGCTTGTCTTCAGCTAGGATCTGGTCATTTGTCTTCAGTCCATACCTTGAAAATCAAAGTGAAAATATTAAACATTACTGCACAAAATTATATCCTTGATCCTTCTTATTTAAATGAAACAAAATTGACATTCTTGACTGTGCTATCAAGCACTTGATGAAGGCAGAATATATTCTCTCATCAGGAATAATATTTAGTTCTGGTGATGGTCCATGAGTTTTTTGGAAGCGAAGCCTATACTTTGTGTTGGGATAATAGCCCCTTTAATAACCAGAATTTTCTATAATATGATTTCTGATAATGGACTTGGTTCCCAGTAACCGATAATATGACTAAGTTGCCTGCAAGCTAAGTCTCTTTTTTTGAACTCTTAACAGAAAATTCAAGTTACTGGTTTCAAACTAGTCATGCAAGACCCAAATTCAGAAAGATACTTTCAACAAGCAAGTAATATTTGTTGACAGGTCTTTGCTTTTGGAACAACTTTAGATAATTTCTTTTCACAAAATAGCATAGTGATGGAACCCCCCATAGGCAGAGGTGTTTATCATTGAAACATACAGAATGGGAGGTCGTCATTTAGTCCCACATTTATCTGCCAGCTCTGCTTTTTAACCTCCCTCCAGACCGACATATATTCCTTAATACTTACATCAAACAGGCTTTTTTTAAAGCATCAGATTATCCCTGCATGAAAGCACACAGCTCTTCTTCCTCTCTTCAACTGTCCAGTACACAAGCTACTGACATGCAATGATTGGATTCATGGGGTCACTTGTGTGATGTACCAGACATTGCATCAAGTGCTCACGAACTATATTCCAATATAGAAGCAGCAACGGGCAATTTTAGAAGGAAACATGATGAGCACAAGGCAAAATAAACTGCAGGGCTATAAGGACACAGCAAGAGGATGATACTGATTTAATGCTCTACACACAACTGGTATGGACTTGATACTTCAAATGGTCTTACGTGGCACAATGATTATATGGGATGCATTGCAAGGAAAAATGGAAAACACAATGAAGTTCTTGACATCATAATAAAATTACAGTACTCCTAAAAATTTAAGCACTAGTCTACTTGGAACTGGTGCAAAAGAAGGAATCTGTAGTTTTGATTCTTACCTGGGAAGCATTGTTGATGAGTAGATAGAGGTTTCTTTGAAGTTATCTAAAACATTGAGATGACTCTGGAGTTGTAGAAATTGTAATCACTTGCACCTGAGCTTACTCAGTGCTTTGCCCCAAAAATCAGAATTATATCATAATGAAACCATTTCAGCACATTTTCAAACAGCTGTCACGGGTGCGTAATTTTGCGGTACGTTTATTTAGGATGTGTAGTCACTGACATTTCTAAGCACACTTCCAAAAAAAAAACTTGTTTCCAAACAATTCTAAATATGATTGCATATCCTGCAATCTGAAAGATCAAGTTGAAACAGTGTTTCCATGTTTTTCCTGTCTGTGAAGAACGAGGCCCTGTGCATTAATATGTGGTTTCCAGTACACACAAGTGCGTAAACAATGATGGCATCTTGTGCAGATTATTTCTCAATTTGTTGCACAAATTCATTAATGGGCCTGGGAGCCATTACCTTTAGTCCTGAAAAGTTTGAGCAACAGGTGAAATGTATTGTTTAACGCCACTGCTATGCAGCATGAACTCTAATGGTGACTGCTCCTACAGAGTGCAGTCTTCGAGCCAAAAAGCCAAACCAGTAAGTCACGTAGTATATGAATTTTAGTGCCAGTGTGATGCTAACTGTAAAATCCAAAGACTGGCAGATCCTATCTAACTACATATCCCTTTGGCTGTTCACAGCAGCAAGGAACTGACCATATTCAACCAACCCATGTTTGCAAAACTCTAAACAATGTCCAATATCAGATCTAATTTTGTGATAGGATTATTTACAAAGTGTTGCCCAGGGTGTTCTATGAATTACGCTGACAACCAATTTAGGACTGTTTGCCAATCCCAATGCGGTGTACTTGCACGTCCTGGAAGCCACACATATAAATACACAGGGCTATTTCCTTCGCAGAATGAATCAACATGTACACACACAGCACCTGTTTCAACAAGAATATGTCATGCACTATGAGAAAAGTGGGGTTGGCCTTGCGACTTATAAAGTAAGGAAAATAAACTGTTTAAAAAAAATAAACTTTTAGTAATTAACTATAGGTAAAGTATGGTCCACTCACTGGGAGTGAAGAATTCCCTATGTAACACATTTTTCTGCAGAGTTTAAGTCAAATTATCTCATTACTGGCCAGCAGAGGCAAACCATAGCCAAACTGCTGTAAATGACAACCACTGAGCAGAATTGTGTAATACTAATAATTACTGTCTCCAACAGAATTACCAGTCCTTTTCTATGTGCTTAATGTGAGGTTGCTTTATGTAGTATTTAGTAAGCATAGTTTGCAATCATTATTGACAAACTGAACTCAGGTCTCCATTTGGCGCAGTATCAAAGGAACAGTTTTCACCTTAGCCTTACAGAGTCAGTTGCCCATTGATATTTCATGAGCTGGTCAGAGATTTTTAACTTTCAGGCCACTGATCCAATGTGACACTCTTTACAAAGATCTGTGACGTCAGTGAACAGGTCAAGCTGTTCGGAGGTTCTTTGACCAAGGGAGATTGAAGAATCCTCACAAACAAGATTGGAAAGCATGAATTTTTTTTAAAAAAACACACCGGAATTATTATTTCCTACAGTGATTTGAATGTAGGCTAAATAAAGACTGGAACATGCATATTAGATTAAAGGGAGAGATATTAACGATGAAAACAGAAGAGATTTTGGAACAAAATAATGTAGAGTGACAACATTGAGGAAATGTTATCCTATGCCTCAACTTTTAAAATCCATCTCTCAAGTGAGTGTGGTGGGCAAATGCAGCAAGTTGACAAAATTCAAGTTACTTCTGTATATCTCCATCGCTGAACACAGCTTGTATAACAGCAAGGTACCATTGCTAGCAACTTACAGATTTGTGTTTATCACTGCATGTGCAGACACTAATAGTTACTGTCAGTTTTATCTATTAGTAACAGCAAAATCCTGAACAATCTAACACAAAAATAAACTCAATGTACAAAATCTCTGAAAAAAGAAGTCAGATTTAGTACAAATCACAAAACGCATTTTAAAGTTTGGAAAAGCCTCAGAAGTTAGCATGAAAATTACAATGATACATTTACAGACGTGCTTTAGCCTCCACAATGGTTCAACAACAGGGATGTAATGAGGTAATGGTAAGTGTCTCTCGTACAGTGACAGGGTTCAAACCCCATCATGGCAGGTGGTGAAATCTGAAATCAACAGAAATCGGGAACTAAAAGGTAATAGTGACCATACTATAAACGTCCATCTGGTTCACTAATATTCTTTTGGAAAAGGAATCTTGCCACCTTTGCCCGAATTGGCCTCCATGCTATGCTAAGGCCATAGTAAGAGGGTCAACTTTCTACTACCCCTGAAGTGTCCCAGTGAGTCACTCGGTTCTCTGATAATTAGGGATAAGGGATGGGCAATAACTGCTGGCCCAGTCAGCAACATCCACATTCCATGAGCTAATACGAAAAACTTCCTTCATGATCAGCATTATCATTCACCAGGAATTAGAGCACAAAGTAAACAAATGAATGCCTCAATTATTAACTAAAAGTCAAATTGAACATCGTACATGTATGCTGTAGATTACTAAACTAAACAGAGACAGAGACAATCACCCAGCTAGGTTGGATTATTTATTTTCAGAACAGATCAGAAACAATTTTTCAACATTAATATAGGCACTTGTACCTAATTTTGCGACCCTTCAAAATCTGGTCTGACATTAACATAAAAACATGGACCCAGAATAACACAAAATGTCAAAGAACAAGCTCACTTATACAGGGATAAAAGTTTAAAGGGTAGCTTTATGTTGAAGTTCATTGACTGTAAAGCAGTTTCTGAGCTTGGACACTCTTTACACTGATGTTAACAGTGATTCAAAGTCATGAGATCAAAAAAGAGTCGTTCAATTGACTGCTGTCTCATAAAAGGGCTGTAGGCACAATTTCCAAAAGACAGCAGAGTCCGAAGGCAAACTGGAGAGACTGAACGGTGGCTTATCTGTATCCACTCACTTGTGGTGGAAACTGATCACTTTTTGTGCCATGCAAGTTAATTATCACAGAAACCCAATATTTTACTATTCTTAACAACCAAAGTAATACATCTTCACGACCTCAGTGAGGTTAACACTTCATAATCCTAGCCCCAGAATAACCCTTAAACCTGCAGGATGCTTATTGGTATCAATGAATCAGCTTATGGAAAGAATAATCTCGTAGGTCCAAGCAGTGAGCAAAAGCAAAAAAGTTGCACATTTTATTTAGAGTTACTCTACAGCATTATAACTCTTATTTACAGTAAAGATGTCAAAAATAGCAATTTAGAAATTGAGTTGCAAGATTTATTTTCAGACAAACACTTTTTATTCAAAGCTTTCTCAGATACAGAAGATCAACAGCAGATGACACTGAAATCATCCCTTCTGAGAATTTCAAAATATACCAGAAGAGAGATTTAAAAAACCAGACTTAAGAGGCATTTTTCCACCTTTCTCCTTTTAATTCCACTGTCCACACAATGGACCCAACCAGATGGACACTAGAAAACCATCAAGAGATTAGGATGATTATATCCTCTGCTTTTGTAGGAGACTAAAATCTCAATTCAATATTCTTCTTGGATCCTACAAGTTACACTATCAACTTCATTTATGTTACATCTTTAATAATAAGATCTCTCTACGCACTTTACAAGATGATTATCAAATTAAATGACAGAGTCATTTATTACGGATATTATAAGATATTACAGCAAGTGACCAAAACCTTGATCAAAGAGGCAAGCTTATAAGAACAAGAAGCAAAGAAGTTTTAGAAGGGAATTTAAAAGTTTAGGGATTAACTCAAGGCAAACAATGAACACTACAAAAATCCAATTAATTTACTGAGTAGGACATTCATTG